GCCTCTATCACCCACTGTCAAAAAAATCAGAACGAAATTTCTTCGAAGTTTCTCGCAAGCATTCATCATTTTTGCATACCGTACTGGCCATATGGAAAGCGTAAATGGCAACAATAGCACCTACTAGAGGGTTACAATACTGAATTAACTGATAGCAAAACAGGCTCACAGCTTGATTTGGCACTATTTACCTATTTATATTTTTATATATTTATTTTGTATTTTATTTACTATTTACCCTTTACTGCCCCAACCATCCAGAATTGAGCCAGTTTCTGACCGACTTTTTTCTCCGTGGACAGATTTGGCTCAAATGTTGTCTCCTGGGGTATTTTGACCTCCTGAATACGAATATGACACTCGCTTAGCCCCAAACTTGCTTCCTCGCGCCACAGGCGCCGGTAATCTGGGGTATTTTGGCGCCAGCGCCTGTAGCGCGGGCGCCAGGTTTCAGGCTCAGCGGATGTGATATTCGTGTTCAGGAGGTCAGACTACCCCTGAGAACAAGTTTTCAGCGAATTTGGTGATTTGAGGTATTTTGGCGCCGGCGCCTGTGGCGCGGGCGCCAGGTTTCGTGCCTGAGCGGATGTGATATTCATGTTCAGGAGGTCAAACTACCCCAGGGAACAAATTTTCAGCCAATTCTGCCAACGCAAAAAAAGTCGGTCAAAAACTGGCCTGTTTTCGGAAGATTGGGGCAGTAAAGGGTGAACAGGGCCCTTGATTTTTATGGCTGAACCCTCATGAATTGATCTGAAAACTGTTTTGGCCACTACAACCTTAATGGCACTTGTAAGTTCAGGAATTTATACCCGATAACGATGTCGGAACTCCAACAAGAAGGAGAGGAAGCAGGATGACTGACTTGAACTAATGTGAAGGTAGTTTAGCAGTGAGAGGCGCCCGTGTCACACAAATTGTTCGTAGATCGAGTGCCACGTAGGATAATAAACTAAACTACTAGCTCACTAATTCGACTACCACCACGTACCAAATTGACGGGAGCAAACAGTGATTCCAAT